CAGGCAACAAACCTGATCTTGTCCTTTTTGATAAATCCAAATCATTTATATTATTGAATTTTCTGTCCCTCTTGACACTAATGCGATTGACAAGCTTGAGGAAAAACATGGCAAATATGCAGACCTCGCTTTCGAAATGTCACGCTTGCATCCCAAATACCAAGTTGTCCAACTCCTAATTGTTCTTGGTGCCTTAGGTTTGGTACCTCCCAATCTATTGAATGACATTGGGAGAGTACCCGGGTTTGCTACCAGGAATACAACCCTTCTGACAATCTGGGTTATGCAGATGGCTGCAGTGTTGGGGAGTCTTCACATTCTCCGAAAGGTTCTGTGCGGGTTTGACAAGGCAGCGCTTCCTGGGAGAAGTCCCGTTCGCTGTCTGGGCTGCGTGTAGAGGGGGCAAGGACCCTGAGCTGATGATAGCCTAACCAGTCTGACTGTACCAGGATTACCTAAACCTTCTTTGCTGCATTTTTTATTTTAATCTGTAAATAATAATAATAATAATAATAATTCGTCAGATTCTTTTCACCAAGTGAACGCTCATGGTACAACAACAATGCTATTAACCCGGACTTTGGAACAACGTGCATCAAATTTTATCGTCAGCTCCCTGGGGAGTATACAAACCATAAAGCGCCGTATAAAGCTCTAGAAAGTTTACGGTCAGTCACATACAATGTATTACCATCTCATCCTACCGGGTAACAATTTACAACTAAGTAAACATAGGCATATTTCGATATCTCTTGCCTATGGAGGCACCACCCTCTGGATTCAAGATGTCGAACACGGTCACCCATCCACCTTCTCTCCGCAACCATCGTTGATTAACTTGTGACCTGTGTGCAGTGCACAGGACCACATGCACGTGGTTTACATCTGGCAATAGTGGTAATGGTTTCAGTGAAACCCATGAGGGTGGACTAACATTGCTTTCGGGAGCTAGTGCACTACTCGCACATTATCGTGTGCAGAGTGGGGCTTGTTTACTGCGGGCTTTCTTGTCATTATTCATTGTGTTTACCTCGGGTAGAGAAATGTCGATAATAAAGTTTGTGTCAGTGGAAACCATGAGATAGGACATTAACACAATAGGTAGTTAAGTAAGTGAGTGAGTTTGATTTTACGCCGCTTTTAGCAATATTCCAGTAATATCACGGCGGTGGACACCAGAAATGGGCTTCACACATTGTACCCATGTCGGGAATCGAACCCTGGTTTCGGCGTGACGAGCAACCGCTTTAACCACTAGGCTACCCAGACCACCCCAATAATTAAGTAGCTATGCAGGTATACCCGTGCACGTCCGGGTTAGAATTGATGGTGGTCATGCCCGGTGACGTGGTTGATGCAAGTCATCGTATCCCAACTGCGCAGATCGATACTCATGATGTCAGTCACTGGATTATCTGGTCCAGACGCGATTATTAACAGACCACTGTCATATAGCTTGAATATCGGCCTAAAAAATAAACAAACAAACAAACAAACCTGTGCACCAAGGACAGATAAACCCAGTTGGAAACACTTTGACTGGAGGCATTCCTTACTGTATTGTTTTAAAATGAATTTAAATAATGAATTGAAATAACCAAAATTTCTCTCTTTGCTGATTGTGTCACATAAAAAGCTTTACATTTTTTTAAAAGTTGTATTTGTTGTAGCAGTGTGCTTATTTGATTGACGGGAACAACATTTGTCTCCGAAATTCGTACTGGAATCGGGGGCACGGGTGACCCAGTCGTCTAAGGCGTCGCGATTCGCTGTGCAGAGTTGCGTCCCTTGGGCACCTATGATTGTGGGTTCGAATCCCGATTCGCCCCGATTATGTTTCTAGGTTTGTCCGTGCTCGTGGGTTTCACCGAAGTGGTAAACGTCTGAGACCTACATTTCCTCCCACATAAAACTGGAATACTTTTAAAAGCGGCGTTAAACTCAACTCACTCACTAGTTCTTAAAATCTTAAAAGAGTCTACTGCGAAATTAAAATCCCATCACCCATGGTCTAATGTTATTTGAACCCAAATTCCAGTGGATTATTAAGAAGGCAAATGGACAGAAGCGTTGGTGACTTCGTTTAAACCCACAAGCAACAATACTCGTTATGCTTATCCTGTTTTCGACGTCAAAACACATAATGAGATTTTAGATCAATGATTAACAAAAGAATCAACTAAAATCAATCATACAAATCAAAGGAATAAAAAACGAAATACACGATTTTTGTATACCACTCAAAAGAAGTTAAAGAACATCTGATTCTTTCATATTACCATAGTTAATCAGTCACGCCACGAGAAGACATTAAAGAACGCTCGATTCTTTCACACTGCTATGATTAATATATCTGTTAGTGTCATGGCATGACAGATTAACTACAGCAATATTGAAGAATCGGGTGTTCGTTACTTCTTTTGAGTAGTATATTGCAATCAATTGCTTGGTTGCAAGGAAACATGTATTTATTACGCTGACGTGTTCGGTTGATTGTTAATTACGCAGACCGCGGAGTATCGATCTATGACATTTGCTGAAGTGGCGTAGACAAACATATCACAGACATGTCAATCAAGGTCCGGTGTTTATTTCACTGAATCAGACATCCTCAACGTGTATCAATGCACGGGCACGTTCTTGACCCGGTGTACATTGCATGGCAATTTACACAATGAATACGAACTGTGCATGAATGAAGCGTGCGCTGTCGGTGAAGGTTAAACTCTGTATAAGAGATGAATTATTTTCTCAACGCTAAAATTATAATTGTTGTAAATAATATCAATATGTTCGGAACTTTTGCCAATGTAGAGACCGCACAGCTGTTTTTGAAAATGATCACCACCCTTTTTTAAATCAGTCTGCTAGTTGGGAGTTTCGGAGGTCAAGTAGCGTGAAGTACCGAAAATCGTTACGCAGAGTTGCGTCCCTTTGGGTAGCCAGGCTCCGATGATTGTGGACTCGACTGTCAATGTCGCCCTGACTATGATCCTTGGTCTGTGCTCGAAATGTTAACGGTTAAGATCTGTATCTCTTTTTGGGGTATCACGCTTAGCTGAATCGTCTTGATATATCTTATAATACTGTTCAAAGCGGCGCTAAACCAAAACTCAGTCACCCACTCATTCGCTCACTAGATCACTTTCACACACACACACTTCTCTAATTTATTCACTCACTCACTCACTCTATCACTCAATCTAGTCATACATATTGTATATGTCATACTGTACCAATTGCATTCAAACAAGTAGTCTGTAAGTCATGACAAAGGCACCATAAATCAATGCTTGAAAATCAATGAAGAAGGCAGTGTACGACAAGAAGAGAGTGCCGATCAAGTAACCGATTTCCTCGACACCACAGAGACAGGCAATTGCTCTGTCTGCTGCAGATGTCGCTGATCAGGGTAATGTTGGATGGGCCAACTGCTGGTGTTGTCTATAATGTCTGAGCCATGTCGTACCATCTAGCCTCAATGGAGGACCCTAGCTGGACATTTATTTTGAATCCCAGATTCGCCGACCTGTCAGAACAATGCCCGTCCTAGTTTGCCCAATGATGCAAATATCTGCGGTCCCGTGAAGATCCGGGGTAGAATAAGTCTTCAGCAACCCATGCTTGCCGTAAAAGGCGACTGTGTTTGCCGTAAAGGGCGACTAACGGGGTCGGGTGGTCAGGCTCGCTGACTTGGTTGATGCATACCATCGTATCCCTATAGCGTAGATCGATGCTCATGATATCAACCACTGGATTGTATGGTCCAGAATCTATTATTTACATACCGCCGTCATATATCTGGAATAGTGCGGCGTTAAACAACAAACTAACAAACGAACAAAGCAAACGTCTCAGACCTGCATTACTTCGGGCTTTCATCCCACATTAAGCTGACACGCCGTGATATAACAGATATACTGTTTAAGGAGGTGTTAATTATAAACCCAACTCACTCACTCACTCTCTCAGATACAGAAACTACCGTGTTGTAACTGTTGCTGGGATACACGGACATTTTAAAAGTACATCGTTATAGGATAAAGTATACCGCAAATGGCCGGGACCAAACGAACAGTTCGTTATATCCGTCAGTTCGTTATAAGCCTGTTCGTTATAAACGTAGTTCACTGTACAGTTATGTAAGTTCCAGGGCCCCGTTCCACAAAGCGATCTTAGCGCTAAGATGATCGTAACTCCCATACTTTAACACAGGATTACGCCAGTCGTAGCGCTAAGATCGCTTTGTGGAATGGGGCGCAGGTACATAGCGCAGTTAGGGCAATGTCGCGTCAGAGATAACTCGGTTTAAACGTACGTTGTCTGTGTTCTCTGATACAGGTTACTGGACTACATTCCTGTGACGCGAACCCACAGTAAAATAGTTCTTTCAGTTTGCAGTGAATTGTGAGCCAGAATGTAGAATAGATGCGCGTATTTTAACGGAATAATATTGACCAATGCACAGCAAGAATTGATATCTTCACTCTTATCGCCTGGTGTCACGAGACAGTGATATAAAATAATATGCTTTTTCTTTATGGCGCTTAAGTTTGTGTGATGGTTAAATCGACATAAAGAAACTTCGATAAACAGATGTCGAATGACGGCTCGGTTGGATGAAATTTATATTTAACCACTGCATCAGGTACAGTAGACTACGGTTAAAATGAACACGCTTATAAGGAACTGACGGATATAACGAACTTACTTTTTGGTCCCGACTATTTGCTGTAGTTAAGCTGTATATGTGCTTATAACGAACTACGGTTATAACGAACTAAAATAAGTAGTCCCTTCGAGTTCATTTTAACCGTAGTTTACTGTATATGGTACGATGGAATGATACGCGTGGGACAATTTAGCTAATGCAGTGATAAAATGTAAATTTCATCAAACCAAGAGCTAATTTTGTATCTGTCTATACATCCGTCGATGTTAAATTAGTTTCATCCTTGAGAGCGAATAACATGCATGTTTTTTAGCCTTGGTTGACTCACGTGCCCCCCGGCCATGTCGTGAGCTCGCTGACGTACACCAGGAAGCTGGAACAGACGGGCTTGTATAAAAACAGGTAAATTAACTTATTTCCAACAGAAGGAGGAGACTTTGGGGGACTTAGGGGATGCTAAGGGCTCTTACTGCTCTACGGAGCAGCTTTCCTCGGGGTCACGATAATTGCTGGGGGGAAGGAACGGTGAACTCTATAATGACGTCCTCGCTCACATTGACAAACATATTTCTAAACTGGCCTGCAGTGGGCGGCGGATTAACGCTGTGTGGAGTACAAGAGCGGGGTAAATAATGATCGCAGCCTGTCAGAAAGGTCCGAGACAGATTGGTGACGATCGAAATGTAATTGTTTTACCAGTGCGCAGGAATCCCGGAGGAACATCGGGGCGGGAAATAATTTAGTGGATGCATGTCATCGTATCCCAATTGCGTGGATCGATGGTCATGATGTCAATCACTGGATTGTCTGGTCCAGACTCGATTATTTACATACCGCCGTCATACAGCTGGAAATATTGCTGAATTCGGCGTTAAACAACAAACGAACGAAAATAGTTTTGCGCCGTTTCCAGCTTTATCTCAGCAAGAAATTAATTCGCACGCTTTCTGAAATCCAGCAACCGAACCTCATGTTTGGCGTCGTGGCGGAAGGTAATCACTCATTGGACCATGCCACATCCCGATATCAGCTTCAATCGTAAGGCTTATGTAACCATGGTAACCGTGATTATTGTTTTCTTTCAGATTAATACATGATAGTAGTTATAACAGTGATACACTTTCGTAACTTACATAACAATACCAGCATGACAGCTATGGCCACAACACCAAGACAACGAGTATTCAAGTATTGATATGAAACTCTCGCATGAACAACCCACGTGTGTGAAGGCTTCTCTAGACAGAAACAAGATTTACAAAATTCACCCAAGCCCTCCGAAAGTTTCCATTGCATGTTTAATGTAGATACATGCTTAACCGGTAGGTATCTGTTACAATCTGTCTTCAGCAGCCAATGCTTGTCGTAAGAGGCAACTAACGGTATCGCTAACTTGGGTGATGCATGTCAGTCACTGGATTGTCTGGCCCAGACTCGATTACAGACCACCCTCATACTGCTGGAGTGTGGCGTTAAACAACAAACAAACAAACATAAATGTGGTTAATAACAATTGATAAGTGATGAGGATGAGTTAAATGACTACTCTTTCTAATCAGTTTAATTATTCGTGTTTTGCAATCTGTCACTATTCTGTTAGCTGCACAATTTACATATGGACCTACCACAGAGCATCACACACGAACTACTTGTAAAAGTGCATAATTGAATACATTATCATGTCTCTAGATGGCGCACATGTATCTAACAGTCCCTTTTGTGAACGTCCTATATAGCTCAGCTGGTTGACCTTTTCTTGACCTTCGATGCGCCAAATGCATAAATTCAATAACATCTTGCCTCTTGAAACACGTACGTACGTTGGGGCACGGGAGACCCAGTCGTCTAAGGCGCGGCGATTCGCTGTGCAGAGTTGCGTCCCTTGGGCACGCCAGAAACCTATGATTGTGGGTTCGAATCCCGGTTCGCCCCGATTATGTTTCTATGTTTGTCAGCACCATACCCGTGCTCGTGGGTTTCACCGAAGTGGTAAACGTCTGAGACCTGCATCACTTCGGGCTTTCCTCCCACATTAAGCTGACACGACGTGATATAACTGGAATACTGTTAAAAGCGGCGTTAAACCCAACTCACTCACTCACTCACGTAGGTACGTTGATTCATCGCTCCGAAACCTCAAACTTCAAACGGTGTTGGGTTAATTTGAGTTCAAATTTAGATTCAGCTTTCTGCAAGATTCAGTTATGGCGGTACAAAACGTTAAACAGGTGACCTTGCCTCGATGTTAAAAATAGTTAGACATAAAAATATACCAAGGAACAATGTATGTTTACCAGACTGTTTATGTCATGTTTTCAGATCAAACAGCCATTACTAAGTACAGTTAGGCATTTATATACATCAAAACATAATAATGTTTTTACCAAATTACTTTTTCTCGTGTTTCGCAGATGCAATTATGTTATTTTTTGTACAAATCAGACAACCATTACTAAGTTTAGTTACAGATTTAATTACATCAAAACATAAATATATGTTTTGCCATATTACTTTTGGACGTGTGCCACAAAAACAATCATCCATTACGAAGCATGGACGGTTAGCGTCGCTGACCGGGAGCACAATGGTGTCCTCCAATAGGCCAACATTGTCCACAATGATAAACTATTGATATTGGATCATAAACACAGTGTTTCCGGGCGTTTGGGTTTCATGTGCGGATTATTACAACTGATTTATCACTTGATAAAGCCTTTGCTTCATATAAATGTCTTTGCATCGTGTCTTATTGTCTCTGCTTCGAGTTAATGCTTTTCTTTCATGGAAGCGTAGTCGATGTCTGGCGCTGGAGGCGAGGGGCAAATTATATGAAGTGCGTCTCCTCCGGGGGGCTCTGGACAACAGATATGCATGGATGTCTATTGATATTCGATAAAGTCCGACCTTAACTGGGGAAATAACACACGACAGGAGACATGGTACGACGAACTGGTTGCCATCGCCTGTGTCACTACATATACATGTTCCTGTACACGTATAACTGAATAGAATTAGGTTAATGGATTCAAGTATTTTAATTGACCATTGATTCTTACAAATCCCATTATTTCACGTGAAAGTTTCAAAATGCACTTGCGATTGTAAAAGGGTATGTAACTGTAGAATTCAGACGTGTGTTTAATTGGAAGTTTAAGGTGACGTAACTTCGGAACTCGTCACTACCACGACAGTAATTACAAACGAATGTCTTGAAGTCAATTTACATTTATTGATATACAGGCTTTTCAGTGCTATGTGAGGCTTCTGGAATTGAGAGTAGATGACTGTCATTTCCGTTGTCGATTAATTCCGCGTTTACTGGAGTTGGCGAATTGGTTAATGGGATCGTGTTCATTTAGCAAACCATACCACACAAAAATTGAATCTGGACCGATTTATATCACGCGAATAAGACGACTATCGATTACACTACCCCAACGTCCAGTCAGTGTCGACATTCTGCTTGTCTATATTAAGATGGCATTTCTTGTTACAAAGGACGATATGGCTGGATAGCATTTCTAGTTACAAAGGACGATATGGCTAGACAGCATTTCTAGTTACAAAGGACGATATGGCTAGATAACATTCTAGTTACAAAGGACGATATGGCTAGATAGCATTTCTAGTTACAAAGGACAATATGGCTAGATAGCATTTCTAGTTACAAAGGATGATATGGCTAGATCGTATTTCTAGTTACAAAGGACAATATGACTAGATAGCATTTCTAGTTACAAATGACAATATGGCTAGATAGTATTTCTAGTTACAAAGGACAGTATGGCTAGAGAGCATTACTAGTTACCAAGGACGATATGACGAGATAGCATTTCTAGTTACAAAGGACAATATGGCTAGAAAGCATTTCTAGTTACAAAGGGCAGTATGGCTAGATAGCATTCTAGTTACAAAGGACGATATGGCTAGATAGCATTTCTAGTTACAAAGGACAATATGGCTAGATAGCATTTCTAGTTACAAAGGATGATATGGCTAGATCGTATTTCTAGTTACAAAGGACAATATGACTAGATAGCATTTCTAGTTACAAATGACAATATGGCTAGATAGTATTTCTAGTTACAAAGGACAGTATGGCTAGAGAGCATTACTAGTTACCAAGGACGATATGACGAGATAGCATTTCTAGCTGCAAAGGACAATATAGCTCGATAGCATTACTAGTTACAAAGGACGATATGGCGAGATAGCATTTCTAGTTACAGATAAAGGGAGATATTGTTAGATAGCATTTATTGCTGCAAACAACAGTGCTAAATAGTTTTGCTAAATTGTCTATCAAATCCTGTTTATTTCGGTGCTTAGGCAATCGGACGGCGCACAATAAAGTATATCATAATCATTTATACATGAGAGTAGTGCACATTCAAAATAAATAGCTTACATTATTAAGCAGTGACAAGTGATGATAATGAATGCCCATAGCCGAGGCTTACACATTTGTTTAATCGTGATTTACAAATTGAGTTTACAGTTTAATAGCTTTGAATATTTAACAATATTTGAGCCATTTCCAAAGATGGGCAGATACAATAACACGTTATGAATATATCCTTTACATTTAAAAATAAAATGTTCATCCTCGATGTATTTGTTTTTACATACATCATTTGGTCGTACAAAATCTCTGCTTACATTTATTACATCGCAATGGTAGAGCTTATAGACTTTACAGTAAACTACGTTTACAACGAACACGCGCATTACGAACTGACCGATATAGCCAACTTATTTTTTATTCCCGGCCACTTGCTGAATATATGCTTATAACGAACTGCGGTTATTACGATCTAAACTTGGTGGTCCCTTTGAGGTCGTTACAACCGTAGTTAACTGTATATCTTCTGATATCTTTTATATGAATGTTAGCCATTAATAGTTAATATCTAAAAGTCACTTAATATGTATATGATGCACGAAATGTGGTGAATTCCTAACCTTTCCAAACACGTGTTGATTATTACAACCCACTAGACTCAAAAAATGAAAATAAAGTGTTTAACATTACCTCCGTCTTGATTAAACCTGACATCCCCAAAACAATCTAAACATAACAAATGAATGCTTTAAATAATGACCAGTTATGGCTTTCTGCCGCGTCTAACTTTTTCATCAGTAAAAAACATTGTTTTGGATGACGACCCTCAGGCATTTTCAATAATAATAATAATAATAATGATGGTGATAATGATGATGATGATGATGATGATGATGATGCTGGTGGTGATGATGATGATGATGATGATAATGATAATAATTATAATAAGTTACACATTATAAGTTACACATTTAAAAAAATAAGCAAAATATATGCCTGTTCTCCAAGATTCAGATAAAATAGCATGACTTGAAACAAGTTGTGCAAATTGTCCATACAACGGTGATACACTGTATATGGTTTTCAGCAGTAAGCGCATTTTTGCATTTTGTAGCCTATTTTTGTACCATTAATTAATTAAATATGCCTACGTCCCAAGTAATCAGCTGAAACCTACGTTTTATGGTACAGTAAGCTACGTTTATAACGAACACGCTTATAACGAACTGACGGATATAACGAACTTACTTTTTTGTCCCGACTAACTGCTGTATTATTCTGTATATATGCTTATAACGAACTACGGTTATAACGAACTAAAATTAGTGGTCCCTTTGAGTTCGTTATAACCGTAGTTTACTGTAGTACAGGTACTTACGAAGCTATCATTGTACCACTGCAACATCTGTATCTAAACTGGGGTACAAAGGAAAGTATACCAAGTTTGTTTTTTATGTAATTGAAAATTGAAAGAACTGTTGTTAAATTTGATTATGTCTGTTTGACCATCACTCATTCCTGCAACAGTTTCTAAAAAGTCATTCGTGGCTGGGTAATTTCGTGTAAACATAAATTGGTTCAATGAAGACTGGGGTAAGAAATGTATTTGACACCACACGACCCCTGTAATGTTTGAAATTTAGTAAAGTTATAAATTTTCAAAGCTAAGATTAATAAGATACATACCTATCAGCAATGTGTATTATGCGATTTTCTTTAATTTAACGACGTAGAAGTAGTCTTTGAATTCTGACTAAACGCCAGCACAATTCATGTTTTGGATATAGTATCGCTAACTTAGGATATTTTTAATTAAAAATCAAACATATGACATACTCCATGGCCACGTACACAGCCTTTTCAGTGCCTAAACGTGTTTGTAATAGAAGGCAAAAAAGATGAATTTGTCGTTTGAAAAAAGTATCTGAGTGCTTTTCCAAACATCACAATACTCGTGCTGGCGTGGTAATTATATAATACACTGTACGAGTTACCAGGTATGATGAGGCAATTGGTTGTCCGTTATAAGAAGAGGCTGTTGCCATCGGAAATCTACCGAGTTATCCAAAGTTCGAGACAAGCGGAGTATCTGCATTAGAACATATTGCAAATTCATCGAGACCATAACGGTACATATATTAACTCTTTAATATGCGACGGTCACTAATGGATGGAGCGTCATCCCAGTGAGCGAAAACACGTTAAAAGATGGCACTTGTTGTTACCCTGTCTGGCGCTTGGCATTAAAGTGTTGAATACTTATGTCATTGAAAAATGTTACTTGAGCAAGGGCAAGTATGACTAACATTCTTACTCCCGGATAAATGAAGGACTGGTCGGCTCGGACCTGGTCTGAGTAGGGTATCCATGTTAAACTGCAGTATCTTGGTACTGCTTAGTACTAGCACAAACAAACAGGCATCAGTCTGGACTAGTACAAGCAGCCACAGTGCAATGATCTTAAACGCGACGTTAAACCCTATTTCAGCCAACTTCTAAAATACGCGAACCAAGTGTAAAATGTTTGTACATATTAAATTTTAATAGATGTATAGTGAAAGGTTTTGTGTCACACAATGTTTTCTTTTGAAAATTCTATATATGAAAATTCTCTGAAACATGACCGTAGTTGGTAATTAATCGAGACCTTCAACTGACTAATATCGTTTGTATAATTAAACACAACGTGGGATAATAAGGAAGTAATACGATATATGAATTGCCGTCAGTGTGCAATCGGTAACAGCTACTACATATACAGTGAAACTTTGTCAGTCAGGACACTCGTTAATCTGGACATTCAGTGTCCGGATTAACGGGGTTCGAGGTTAACGAAAGACAAGGACGCAAGACGGCGGTAGTGGCACATAGCAACACCAAGATGAGAATAGCGGTATTACTGGTAGCACCTTGCTCCGGATTAGCAGCTAATTCCGCTAATCGCTTACATTCGAGTTGGATAGTTCCTTTCAGGATTGGAAATACATCTTTGATTCGTTTAATCATGATGACTGAATGCACAGACGCCACATTAACCCGTGTTGAAGACACAATACACGATCTGCTAGTTCAGTGTCAATACTAGGCAGAAATAGACACATTGAAATTAAACGTGTTCAGTTGGCATAAAATGATTTCTCTCTCTCTCTCTCTCTCTCTCTCTTTCTCTCTCTCTATATATGTGTGTGTGTGTGCGTGTGCGTGTGTGTGTGTGTGCGTGTGTGTGTGTGTGTGTGTGTGTGTGTGTGTGTAATGTAACATCGTAGGTGACTTTTGGACAATCGTGTTAACCAAAGTCCGAAACAAGCCTTGGGTCGATGTTAGACCATAGTAGCGATCTCTTACATAAGGACTCTTCCATCATTTTGTACGAGTTATTGGATTTAGACTATTTTATCATCAGATACAGCATTGTATACTGTTAGAATGGGCAGGTTACACAATTCACAATAAAAACCCTTTCAGTCGAGCTCAGTCGGCATATCACTGAAGACGATAAACTTCATGTTCTGCCGGAATCCCTCTTTAATATAACCTTGCTTGATTCCTCTTTAGTCGAACTCGTGTCTACGCCTGTATCGAACATGTACATTCGGACGAGATACATCCTATTTTCAGTTCCATGAAATAAAATCCACCACATAAAAAGTGAACGTTCAAACAGTCATTTGTTTCTCAGACTATCAGAACTTTTAACAGACACGAATCACATATAAAACACCTTAGTAAATACACATTGCAAGGCATCATGTATCAAGTCTTATAACATTCATAAATATGCAACAATTATATTTAATACACGCATTTTAGAACAAATGTCAATGCCATGTCAATTTGAACACACCAATCTGACAAATATATGATGGCCACCCGAGCACATGACGGAATAATCCTGCAGTGCTTCCTCGGACCCCATCGGGCCTCATCAACAAGATGTGTCTGCTGAATGTCAACTTGACAACAGAGACATACATCTCGACTGCCAAACATGATGCTAAAGGAAGCCATGCACCCTACAGAGGGATATATTAGAAATGGTCAAAACCTACCAGGTAGCAAGGTATCCCAATGTGTTAAGTCCCTGACGGTAAAGCTGCCGTGCTGGCAGGAAGGCAGGCAGTAGGCAATGGCGGGCAACCCAGCTCGCAGCTTAAATCCAGCACCGACTATCGATCTACACATGATGTCAGCCCCACAAGCCAACGCCGTGATGCCAAGCTATACCGTCGCGTGCTGTATTGATTCTGTTGCTATGGAGACACGCGGAAGCTCGAGATTTTATGATGACTTGCGCAGTTTCGTGCCGGGTGGAAGGCAAGGTTACTAGAGAAGATACCCCGATAACGCATCTACCCGTTTTATGAATATTTTAAAACCCTTTTAGTCATTTTTATATGCTGTTTGGTCGTGATGGAGTTATTACATCAGACTTAGCGTGTGGGCAGAGTAGATAGATTCGATCTTTGGATACGTTTATACATGATTCGTGATGCTAATATATGTGGATATTTCAGTGTTATTTACCGTTTCCCCGAGGCTGACATTTATATATAATGAATGCATCACTATATAACTTGGTTTGGTTGTGTTCCAAATGAAGATGATAACATTTTGTAATGGGTGTTCACGTTGGAATTGATCCCGGCGTGTATCGCTAATGCACGTATAATGTGATAGTTACGTTTTCCATTACGAACACATCATGGTCATTGCTGGTGAGAGTGTCATGAGTGAGTGAGTGAGTGAGTTGGGTTTAACGCCTCTTTTTACAGTATTCGTTGCACCCACGTTGCTAGGACTGTCCAGTCTATGTTCCAGAGCCCAATGTAAGTCAGGTGGGGTATCGTATGAGTGAGTGAGTGAGTGAGTGAGTGAGTGAGTTGGGTTAACACCGCTTTTAACAGTATTCCAGTTATATCGCGTGTCAGCTTATTGTGGGAGGAAAGCCCGAAGTGATGCAGGTCTCAGACGTTTACCACTTCGGTGAAACCAACGAGCACGGGTATGGTGCTGACAAACCTAGAAACATAATTGGGGCGAACCCACAATCATAGGTTTCTGGCGTGCCCAAGGGACGCAAATCTGCACAGCGAATCGCGGCGCCTTAGACGAGTGGGCCACCCGTGCCCCCGGTGAGAGTGTCGATATACTTGATAACAGACAGACAGACAGACAGACAGGCGGACGGGAGGACAGACATTGAATACAAATGTTATGTAGCGTGAGCTCAATGTTGGAGGAAAGCCCGAAGTGATGCGGGTGAGGATGAAACCCACGGGGATGGTGCTGACAAACCCTGATCATAAAGACGAACCAAGATAATACTGATTATAATAATTGATTATCTGCAGAAGTATTAAACTATATCGTGTTGTCTCACATGCAACCTGATAACAATATTCTTTAATTTTTGGAACTCGATGTTTGTGGGCACATGCAGGTACACCATGGGGACACAATACATTGTATGTTTGACTTCCGTGTAGCTATGGCAATACTGTGTGGGCCACAATGTTGTACGTAAAGCGGAGTTTCCTGATAATTGCACGTATAAAGAGGTTTACTCAGGGTTGTCAACAAAGCAAGGTTTCCACAAGATTGCCCACAAGAATGTTTAGCCAGTCTGCAAGTTCTTGATCACGTTCATCAGGTTTGTCCATTTTCTAAACGTTCCTGACCAGCGTAATTCCTTCTCCACTGATGGGTGAGGTGAAATGGGGTTTAACGCGTCCAAGATTATTGCACTTGTATAGCGACGTGCATGTACGTGTGTGTGTGGCTGCTTGTACTAGTTCGGACTGATGCCGATTTATAGTGCTAGCTCACTGAGAGCCGCAGTTTAACATGAATATCCCACTCAGACACAGTGTACTGACACCGAGTCGACCAGTCCTTGTTTTAGCCCCTTAATGCCGAGCGCCAGACAGGGTAACAACAAGTACCAATTTTTAACCTCTTTTGGTATGACGCGGCCGGGGATCGAACCCCGGACCTTCCGCTCTCCGGGCGGACGCTCTACCACTAGACCACGGAGGCGGTCCCACTGATGGGATAAGGCAGGGTGACACAGTGCATTACCTTTGTTTGCTTAAACAAAATAACAGTTCCGGGCAAAAGACAGTATAAACTAGAAAATTGAATTTGACTAAACAATTACAAACGTACACACACGTTACCAGACTGAAATCAGTCGCCGAAAGGGCCAAAACACCACTGTGTTTCCGGTATCAAATACATCACCAACGATTAACCATTTCTTGTTTGTTTCATTTCGGCGATCATCAAACTTGGGTGTATCATTTGCCCGACAGTTGATGCGAGGCTCAAAACCTATCTGTCATTCCTTGTATTCCACACCCAGTGAGATGGTATCTTTGAGACACACTGATTGAATTCTTAAAAAGTTTTCTTCCCTTGGCAAAATCGTCCATTCCAGCTTTATCCCTGCTTTCCCAAATGCAGGGAAGTCGACCATGTTGTCCTTATCCCTGGTAGCTTTCTGTACTGGACATAATGATGAAGTACAAAATGATGAAGTACGCACATGATGATTTCATCCGCTTACGTGATGGGCGTTGTTGGCTGTGACCTTTCGTTACAAGACCCTTGCGCTAATATAGGAGTGAGTGAGTGGGTATGGTTTTACGCCGCTTTTAGCAATATTCCCGCAAAATCACGGCGGGGGACACCAGAAATAGGCTTAAAGCTTTGTACCCATGTCGGGAATCGAACCCGTGAATTCGGCGTGACGAATGAACGCTTTAACAACAAGGCTACCCGACGACCCCGCTAATATAGGAGGAGATATGAACTTTCACATGGAATTCTTTGCCTAAAATTTCTCTCTTGACCTACAAAAACGATACACTGTTTCAGTGTAAGTACCCGGTGAACTCTCTCCACTTTAACAAATGTCCGGATTAACGAATCATGTGCAGTAAGCAATGTCCATATGTCAGAATGTCCGGATTAAGAAGGTCCGCACTAAAGGTGTTTCACTGTGAAACAAAGAAGACAGAACTAATGTACGCACACACGTGTAAATGATGGAGGACAAACACATACCCGTTCACCCAGGGACCCGTGAAGATTCCGGGGTAGAATAGGTCTTCAGCAACCCATGCTAGCCGTAAAAGGTGACTATGCTTGTTGTAAAAGGCGACTAACGGGATCGGGTGGTCAGGCTCGCTGACTTGGTTGATGCATGTCATCGATCCCAATGGCGTGGATCGATGCTTATGACATTAATCACTGGATTGTCTGGTCAAGACTCGATTATTTACAGACCGCCGTCATATAGCTGGAATATTGCTGAGTGCGGCGTAAAACAACAAACCAACCAACCAACCGTTCACCCAGGAGGGTGCTTGTTCGCATGAACATGCTTAATGATTTGTTTGTTGTTTGTTTGTTTGTTTGTTTGTTGTTTAACGCCGTACTCAGCAATATTTTTGCTATACGACGGTGGTATGTAAATAATCAAGTCTGGACCAGACAATCCAGTGTTTGACATCATGAGCATCGATCTACGCATTTGGGAGACGATGACATGCATCAACCAAGTCAGCGAGCCTGACCACCCGATACCGTTAGTCGCCTCTAACGACAAGCATGGGTTGCTGAAGACCTATTCTAATCCGGATGTTCACGGGTTTCGTGGTTAGTGATCGTGAACAGATTCACTACGGATTTTCTATTCAGTTACCGCTGAGTATGCTCAGAGTATTCAAATCAAGGATAATTACATTACCATAACAAAGCCTCATCGAGATCACGCGGTGAAATCATTAATACCCGTGTCCTCTTGGTCACGACTAGCCGCATATAGACACTTAGACATTCTATGTACCACGATGTGGCTCTATGTACCACGATGTGGCTCTGTGTACCACGATGTGGCTCTATGTACCACGGTGTGGCTCTATGTACCACGGTGTGGCTCTATGTACCACGATGTGGCTCTATGTACCACGATGTGGCTCTATGTACCACGGTGTGGCTCTATGTACCCCGATGTGGCTCTATGTACCACGGTGTGGCTCTATGTACCACGATGTGGCTCTATGTACCACGGTGTGGCTCTATGTACCACGATGTGGCTCTATGTACCACGATGTGGCTCTGTGTACCACGATGTGGCTCTGTGTGCCACGATGTGGCTCTATGTACCACGGTGTGGCTCTATGTACCACGATGTGGCTCTATGTACCACGGTGTGGCTCTATGTACCACGATGTGGCTCTATGTACCACGGTGTGGCTCTATGTACCACGATGTGGCTCTATGTACCACGGTGTGGCTCTATGTATCACGATGTGGCTCTATGTACCACGGTGTGGCTCTATGTACCACGATGTGGCTCTATGTACCACGGTGTGGCTCTATGTACCACGATGTGGCTCTATGTACCACGGTGTGGCTCTATGTACCACGATGTGGCTCTATGTACCACGGTGTGGCTCTATGTACCACGATGTGGCTCTATGTACCACGATGTGGCTCTATGTACCACGATATGGCTCTATGTACCACGATGTGGCTCTATGTACCACGATATGGCTCTATGTACCACGATGTGGCTCTATGTACCACGATGTGGCTCTATGTACCACGGTGTGGCTCTATGTACCACGATGTGGCTCTATGTACCACGATGTGGCTCTGTGTACCACGATGTGGCTCTGTGTACCACGATGTGGCTCTGTGTACCACGATGTGTCTACCTGAGCCACATGAGGCAAGCATACGCTGGTGACATCATGTCGACAGAGTTCCTGGAAGCGATGGCCTGGAGTGACTAGATGCCAGGAAAGGACCACTTCACATACCACCTAACATGACCGAGTTCCAGATATACTACATTACTACAGGGGTTATCAGTGTTTCCAGATTCGAGTCAGAGCTATAGATAACCTTTTGGATATTTTGGGTATTTAATCCCCAAATACCCACACATTTAAGAGGGTATTCAATTTTTCCCCCACCTGTTTCTTGACATTTGGGCATTTGATTTAAAACCTGTTTCGTAACCATCCCTGTAAATCACTTAAAACTAAGTGAATAGTGGTATACCCGTCTGTGTCTGCTTCAGCTCCCTCTCCGGGAAGCCATTTTTTGTTTACAAAACCTAGCATTGTCAGAAAGGTGATATTGTTTTAATTACCAATCAGCAATT